TGCTAGTGCTATCTTATTGGATAGCCATAGATACACAGTTCATTTCTGTCAGCACAGGAAAGTTGAATTGGACTTGCTGCGCTAGATGGTAGAGAGCTTAAGGGTCTCAGACCAGTAAAATCCAAGACTTAAAATTTGATTTACTCTTTCATTTGTAAAGATGTAATAATTGCAATGTTTTCTTTTTCTAATAGCAAGTAATGATAACATTTATTCAGTCCTTGATTTAAGACCTTCTCAACTAATAGCAAGCAAATTCATTAATTAAATTTTGATAACCTCTTTAAATCTTCACTCCAGGAAATAACTCTCTCATTTACTGTATGGACTGTCTGGTTGTATTATTTAATCATCAACTGGCTTTGAAATATTTCAGAACTGATTGGGATTTCTGGCCAAACCTGTTTGCTTAGTTAAGGATGGTGGGAAAGGAACCAACCTTAAAACAGAAGCTATAAAGTCAGCAGAATGTAAACTCTTGGCATCATCTTTGTAGTGATTTAGATATCATTATTTAGTGATTCATTTTTATTCCCAGCAGCTAGTGCTTTTTGCATGGTCCAAAGGGGCCCTGTGCTGCTCCACTACAGAGGAAACTTCAAGAAATGCTGGTTTGCTACAGTGTTTTAGCTTGTGAGAGTCTCTGGGACCTTCCCTGCTCCATCATGGGGTCACCTCTAGGTGGGTATTAGGTGGAAACTGTAAATTGCTTTAACTTTGAAATAAAGAACTTGGTAATCTTTTGTGGTCCAGTGATATTCGTATATAACAGGCTATGCCTTTCCATGTTGTCCTAGCCCTGGAATAGTGTCACCTTAAAGATTGCTCTTCCAGTTCATTGTTCTTTACGCTTTGAGATACTTGAGGCAACATCAAGAGAGTAAATGATTCTGTAGACAACCCAGTTTGTTCTTCATTGTCATCAGAATTGCTTCTGAAGCCCTACTGGGCTAGATTATCGAATACCCATTATTCTGTACTTCAGTACAGCATTTTGTACCTGGAGTGACGATTTAAAAGGTGAGAACTCGAGTATATTTATCTCATTCATGTTGCTTTCCCTCCCCTGAAATCTTGCCCATGTCTCTAGATAGTCTTTGCTTTATACTTTCTAAGCTGAGGTGTGGGATGCTAAATAATGCTACCTGACCTCAATGCAGGGCCTTTCCAGGAGTCAGATTGTTCAAGAAGAACAATTCCTCCACTACCTTCTGTCTTCTGCTTGCTGAGGGCTTCTTGGTACTTCTTCGAGATGCTAGTATATCCTACTCTATGATTTTTAGTTGGTTCAGGGACTAACATGCAAAACAGCATAGATCATCTTAAGACTATGATTTTAAAACATTAATTTAAAAAGATTCATCCAGGGCACTTGGATTCTTCCCTCTAAGATTACCTTTGATTAAGATCAAATGGAAAACAAAAGTTTAAACCAGCCCACTAATGGCTTGCTTGATGTTTAGTGTAGAGTACATCCTAAAGGCATTTGTTTAGGAAGTTGACTGTGATAGAGATTTCTATTTCCTTTACAGGTCATTTTACCTGGGACAAATACCTAAAAGAAACATGTTCAGTCCCAGCGCCTGTCCATTGCTTCAAGCAGGTAATTGATTTTCAACATGGTTAGTAGGTGGGAGACAGTGTTTTCTGGTGCTTGAGTAATCAGAGCATGAGGTAGGAGCCCTTTGACTTCTCACCTAAGGACCCCAAAATAAACTTTTATGAAAGGAGCTCAAGTAAAAGTTGGTTACTGAGTTTCAGCACCAGGCATCTCCCCAACTTCATTCCAAGGAACACCTCCTTTCCTCCAAGATTATTCTGTTACTGAAAAAAAAATGACTATTTTTTCCTGGAGCTTTAATTCAGAGAAATAGGAAAGAGAATTGTGGGTTTTAGAATGTGGAGCAGTATTCTTTTCCTGTGTTCAAAACCTCTGCCACAATCTTACTTTTCTTTAAGAACACTGAACCCAGTCTTACTGGGGGACGTTTTTTGAGTCATTCAGAGCTTCTCATGTAGAATTAAGTGTTCCAGACAATATGTGGTAAGGTTGGTAAGCTAAGCAGTGCACTGTTGCTAAACAGAGCAAGATGCCACAGTTCTTTATACCACTCTTGCTTTAGTCCTCAATTATTTCTTTATCAATAGTTCACTTTAAGTTTTATCTAATTTCTAAGTAAAAGTACATATTTCTGTTTATTTGAAATAATATAGTCTAATTCAAATGTTTACCTAAACCATTCTTAATTCAAATATACTAAGAAATAGCTCTCAAGTCACCAAAAATCAGAGAAGTAAAGAGTGGTCTGAGAAATGGGAAACAAATGAGTTAAGCCTGTGTGATTTGCCACCTTACTGCCTAGATCCAGATCATATTCCAAGGAAGGTGAACCTTAGGTTGAGCCATCAGACTCCCTAATTCAAGGATATGGAACTGATAGTCCAGATGCATTAAAGTAACTAGAATTTACAAGTCACTATGTCAGAGCAAAACCCAAAAGGGCTATAGAAGATCATCTTTAATTATTCAGGAAAGTACTGCTGTTGAGTGATGAGGAAACTATTTATGGCCAATGGAAAATCCATCTGAAAATATTAGAAGAAAGCCTGATACATGAGACTGAGCATAGTTCCTGGAAAGTCTCTTCTTTATTTGATCATTGGAAGAATATTCAGGAAGGCCTTTTAGATAATAGGAAATAGTCATACTCCGAGCATTGCTCCAGACTTGTATAAAAACTCATAAAAGTCATACTTGAAGGAATCAAACTGTCCTCAGGAAACTTCATCTATAAACAAATCACAAGAAAATCTATAGAAATGCAAAAAATATCCAGTACCCAGCAATAAAATCCATAGTACCTAATGTCTAGTCAAAGGTTAGTGGGCATGCAAAGAGGCAGAAGAGTGCAGTCAGTAGGAAAGAGAATAATCATTTGGTTCAAACTGACTCAGGACCTATACAGGGCACACAACAAAAGATAAACACCTGAAAGTATTGTTTTAATTATTTGATATGTTCCAAGTGTAAGCAGAGAAATGAAAGATGTCAAGATTCTCAACTAACTGCATGCAAAATTTAAAATGCACTGGTTAATATTAATGTTACAAGAAAATATTACTGAGCTCTGAGACACAGGAATAGAAACTACCCAAAATGAATCACAAAGACAAAGCAGTTCAGACTCAAGTGAAAAGAGAGTAGCAAACCAGAGCTTCTACTTGCCAGATAGATGTGTGATCAGTGTTCCCGAAGAGAAGAAAGGAGTATGTGAGTAATGATGGCTAAGATATCACCAGACAGTTTTTAATTGCTATGATTTAAAAGAAGACACATTTAGTGGTGAAAAGATATGGAGCAAAAGGGTCTCTCATAAGCTGTTAGCAAAAATATACAGTATCTTACCCTTGGCAGAAAACATCATAATACTGAAGGAAAAAGAGCCATTAGAATTGAGTAATATTAAGTTAGCATTCTAGTCAATTATTTAAAATAATCCAACAGAATATATAACAGAAGAGAAACTCTGACTTAAAATAGCAGCCAGAGGGGTGAGGTGAACTTACAAAATCCAAAACTTACTTATAGAAAATATCTGACCAAAAAATGCTCCATAAGAATTAAAAATTATGAAAGGAGAGGCTGAGGAGATGGCTTAGTCAATAAAATGCTTGTTTCTCAAGCATGAGGCTCTGACTTCAGATCCCTAGCACCCAGATAAAAACCAAGTAGGACAGCCCATGCCTGTAGCCCAGGCTCCAGATTCTTTGAAAGGCCCTGTCTCCAAAATTCAGGTGGAGAATGTCAGAGGAGGACACCCTGATATCAATCTCTGACTTCGACATGCATGCATATGGGCAAGCGCACACATTCACTACTAAAGAGCAGTTAAAGACAGCTCACACTGACCTCTGGCCTACACATACATACTTATACATGTACACATACATGCACAAACATGAACGTGTACACATGCATATAACACACACACACACACACACACACACACACACACACACACACACACACACACACAAAGGAAATTTCAGAGTTACAAACTCCTTTTCCTCAAAAGATACTTGTGAGGGCTGAAAAGATGGCTCAGCAGTTAAGAGCACTAGCTGTTCTTCCAGATGACCTCAGTTAGGTTCCTAGCTCTCAAGTCAGGTGACTCACAACCATCTGTAACTTCAGCTCCAGGGGATCTAACACCTCTGGACCTACAGGCACCTGCACTCATGCACACATACCTACATGCATAAATACACAAACACATAAATAAAAATAACCTTTAAAGATACCTGTAAGAGAGTAAGATACAAGCCACATTAAGAGAAAATATTTGTAAATCACAACAGTATAACAGTACTCCCCAAAATGATGTATAAATTGGCCACAGTCCCTATCAAAATACCAGACTTTTGGGCAGAAATTGGCAGAATTGATCCTCCAATTTATATAGAACCATAAGAAACTCAGAACAGTCAAAGCAGCCTTTAAAAGAAAGAACAAAGCAGGAAGGCAAAATATGTGAATAGAAACATCCGTCAGGAAAGAGCTTCTCCATAGTGAAAAAAGGAAGGGACAAGTGTAGAGTTATGTGTTCAGCAGGAAACAAATTGCAAAATCAGAGGCCTGGGACAGCGGCAGAGCAAAAGAAACAAAATGCCTCACCTTAGCACAATATCCTGGAAAGAAGTTTCTCTACACAGGGGTAAAGGTGAAAGAGTCCCACCAATCTGCCAGCTCAGATAGGTGTTCTACTGGCTTAAGAAAGCTTCACAGTTCTTCCAGGCCTAAAACCTGCACAGTAGCCGGGCGGTGTTGGCGCATGCCTTTAATCCCAGCACTCGGGAGGCAGAGCCAGGCGGATCTCTGTGAGTTCGAGGCCAGCCTGGGCTACTAAGTGAGTTCCAGGAAAGGCGCAAAGCTACACAGAGAAACCCTGTCTCAAAAAACCAAAAAAAAAAAAAAAAAAAAAAAAAAAAAAAAAAAAAACTGCACAGTAGCCTAGCTTTAGACTTTCAAGTCCCAGCAAACTACCAGGGTGGTATTGCCAGTCATCTTGAGAGGAAACCTATTGTCTGAATTAGGACTGCTTTAGGATTTAGAAACCCTATATATCCAAATTATGGGACTGGTAGACATTCTACTATACTGGCTCAGTGTATGGTTTGCCTCATCAGACTCAACATAGCTAGACAGAATGATTCTGAGACAAATCCCTTACATAGCTGGGCATCAGATGTTATAACAGGGAGGATATGGAGGCTGCCACTTGCAAAAAAAACCCATGAGATTGAGACTACCTTCTGATACTGGAAATGTGGCCTATTCCATGTTTCTCATGGGTACCAGGACTGAAATAGTTGTCCAGGTAGTTCTTGACCCAGCTCTCCCACCACTACACACAGTGTTGCTATAATGCAGAGAAATAATTCTGAGTTTCTACTCCTACCCTACCAGAGACATGCTGGGAACATTTGAACACCATCCCTATGGCCCCAGCTGTACTCTTGCTTCAGGTACACAGCCTAACAAGTTTCAGGGGAACCATGGCCAATACAAGCCACATTCTGCTCTCCCTCCCTTCTGTTAGCACCTCTCTGAGAGGAATTTGCCAAATTTCAGTCATCCTTTCACTGTATCCTTTCCTAGGCACTGTATCTGAAAAACTGGGAAGTCTCCATACATCTTCAGAGGTGCACAGTTATGAGGAGTCTGAGGTCACACTCCAGAGCAGGCATTCTCACAGTAGGGGAACAACACAACTTTACAACTCCTCATTGCATTGATCACTCATAAGTCAGGACATGAGTGCCACAGACAGATTCCTGTACCACCCTCTCTGTTTAGTACCTGAACCCATGCCGTGTCAGGTCAGAGGACAAGTGCCTAAGGCTCCTCATTACTAGACAGCAAATGCAGAGGGTTCGAGTAATACAATGAATATCGTCAGTGCCTAAGGAAACAACTCACCTTGTACAGGTCACAAGTTTCACTATAGGAGTAAGCACAGAGTATACCCACACATACTGCTTTCTGTATCACACTTGCTCGAACTACTTGAGTATCTCCAGTCTTGCTTGTATTGCCTAGAGAGACAGTAGGTCTCTCTCTGATTCTGATATAATACAGATAAGTAGAATGAATGCACTGTACTCAAACTCACCATAGACAAACGCATCATAGACAGACATGCTTCAGGCAGATTACACTATTGTGTTCAAACTGGAAGTAACATTGGCATTGAATATCAATAAATCAATGATCAAGATACATCTTCTGGAAAAAGTTAAGCCCGTTCCATAAAAGTGATAAGGCTCTCCATTGTGCCAGATATACAAGCTTTAACATAGGAATACAAGAACTATGAAGAACAAGGTAATACAACATCTCCTAAAGTCCATTCATAACACTCTAGTAAGAGACTCCACAGGTACCAAAGTGAATGAAGTACCTGATAAAGAATTCAAAAGAATTATTTCTTGAAATCTCAAGAAAACCAGACAAGCAGTTAAATGAAATTAGTAAGACGATGCTGAGCATGAGTGAGAAATTCAGCAGAGAGATGGGGATTTCAAAAAAGAACCAGTCAGAAATCTATAAATCAGTTTAAAACCAGTTCTATAAATCAGTTTAAAAATTGAGTTGGGAGCCTCACCTGCAGTCTACAGGTGAAGAAAGAATATTAGAACTTGAAGACAGGTATTTATTGAAATGATTGAGGCAGAAATTTAAAAAAAAGGATGAAGAAGGCATACAGGATCTTTAGGGTACCATGAAAAGATCAAATGTCCTGATCATTAACATACCTAAATGGGGAGAAATGAAGTTGAGGGCATAGTAACCTCTTCATTGGAGTAACAGCCGAAAACTTCGCAGTCTTGGGAAAGACATGGGCATCCGTGTCTGGATTCCCAAACAGACCCTGCCAAAGAAGATTCTCACTACAGCATACAGGAAAACTGTCTGCAGTACAGAAAAAGCACCAAACAATATTTAAGAGCAGCCCCATTAGACTAGTAGCAGATTTCTCAGTAGAAACTCTTTAAGCCAGGAAGGGATCTATTATTATTACAACCCGTATTACTATAACCCAACAAGGCTGTACTTCAGAATTTAATGAGAAATAAAGACCTTCCAAAACAAACAAAGAGTTAAGGGAATTCCTAACCAGACCAGCTTTATAAAAGATGCTTTAAGGGGGTGCTACACCTGTCACTGGAGTGAAGATAACTACCATCATAACTTCCTAAATATAAATCATAGGATATAAATTCTACTGGAAGAGTAGACACACAAAGAGCAGACTAAAAACAAAAATAAGCCATACCTCAAATTTGTAGAAGAATCAGAAGAGAAACAAATGAAATAGAGACTAAAAGAAGAGCACATAGAATGAATAAAATAGTTCTTTGAAAAGATAAACAAAATGAACAATCCTTAACTAAAGGGAAAGTGAGAGCCCAGATAAAATTCCAGATGAAACTGGAAACATCCCAACTGAGACTACAAAAGTTCAAAGGATCTAGAAATTATTTTTGAAAAACTATATACTAAAAAATTGGAAAATCTAGTAAAATGGAAAAAATTTTAAGACCTGTATAACCTACCAAAGTTGAACCAAGAAGATATAAAAAACAGAATGGAGGGCTCAGTGGATAAGAGCACTTGTATGAGGATCAAAAGCCGGGTGTGGCCATAGACATATAACACCTGCATTGTCAATCTCTGTGGCTTGCTGGCTGCCAACCTAGCCTTAGGTTCAGTGAGAGACTCTGTTTCAAGAAAATAAGGTGGAGAATGACACAGCAGGATACCCACTGGCCTCTTCTGGCCTCTGCATGGATGTGTGCTTACAAATGTCACCTATACTACAGGCATACCTGTACACACCCAAAAAATGTAGATCTGTAAGAAATAATAATATTGAAAGATTGAATCAGTAATAAAAAGTCTCACCAAATAAAAGCCTAGGACCAGATTATTGTGTTGCTGAATTTGATGCAACTTTTTTCATTTTCTTTTTTTTAATCTCTTCCATCCTTCCTTCCTTCCTTCCTTCCTTCCTTCCTTCCTTCCTTCCTTCCTTCCTTCCTCCCTCCCTTGCACCCCTCCTTCCCTTTCTTCCTTCCTTCCTTTTTTGGGGGAGGTGGGGATGGTTTTATATATTTCAAGCTGACTTCAAACTCCCTATATAGCTGATGATGACCTTGAACTTCTGATCCTCTTGTATCCACATCCCAGTTTATGCATTATTGGGGGTTGAACCCCAGGACTTTGTACACAGTAGGCAAACACTCCACCAACTGAACCTCATCCCAAGCTCCTGAATTTATCCAAACTTTTAAAGAACTAGTACTAATGCTTCTCAAACCATAAAAGAAGACAAGAATCATTGTATGTGGGTGTGTGTAGGTGTGTGTGGCTATGGCTACAACAGAGGAACAAGGATGAGATGGAAAGAAGAGCAAAATCATACTTTGTTTAAAAATGTTATAATGTTATCTGGCACCTGTGTGCTGATTTTTAAAAATTAGAAAACAACTGAAATGGAGGGGACCCTTCCCAACTTAATTCTGTTTATCCTGAAATACCTGTTACCAAAGCCTAACAGCATAACAGCAAGAAAACCATAGAGCAATGACCCTGATGGGCAAAATGGCAAATATCCTCAAGAAAATGCTTGCAAATTAAAACCAAGAGCTTGTCAGAAAGGTCATACATCATGTTCAAGTTGGTTTTATTCCAGGATGCAAGAATGGTTCAGAATATTCAAATTCGATACATATTACATAACATATACATAATACCTTGCATAAGTTGAATGAATTATAAAAATTATGATCATCCCAATAGATGCAGAAACATCTATTATTCATGTTATTCATGATAAGAAGTCATGAACATATTAGATATAGAAGGATTGTGCCTTAACATAATAAAGCCTGTATATGACAGACATTTAGGCAGCATTCTACTGAATGAGGAAAGCTGAACATTTTCTCCCAGGTAAGAATCAGAAAATGTCCTGCTGTTGTGGTTAGTATGGCTTTCAGTATATCTTGAAATTTTGTATTGTCGCAATTCTTATTTAGTATAATATTAGAAATTTTAACTACAGTAGTTAGGTAAGAGAAAGGAAAGTCAAATGATCACTCTTTACAAATGATACAATTCTGCCAGTGGTTAGGAGACAGAGGCATAGCTCTACACTGTTACTCTCAGCAGCCTAAGGAGCTCTCCTAATCCTTTAAGGACCTTGACTCAAGATAAGCTGTGATTCCTGGCTTTAATGCAGAAAAGAATTTTAGAATTAAGCATTATGAAACAGTTGTGTATTTTTATTACTAAATATAGTTTAATCAAGTCTTTATATATGAGACAGACAAACTGAAGTGTGGGTATGGACTTCCCAAGGGAAAGTTGTAATTAATTTTCTTAATATTAGTCATATGTAATATCTAAAGAAGAAAAATGCAAATATCCATCAATGAGAGGAAAATGGAAAATAACACCTAACAATGGATGGGGTTTCTTTTAGGATGATGATGATTATGAAATGGATAGGTATGGTGTTTGCTCAACTATGAATATGCGGAAAAGTACTGAGTTACATACTGTAAAGGAGTTTACTTTTGGTGTATGAGTTACACACAAACCTCAAATAAGCCAGCAGTTCTACTATTAGAAGTTTATATAAGAAAAAAGAAAGTGGCCCTCCATCTGTGGCTTCTGTAGCTGTAGATTTTGTCAACAGCAGACCAGAAATATTTGGGAAAAGCCAGGTGTAGTGGTGCACATCTATAATCCCAGCACTTGAGAGGCTGAGGCAGCAGGACCATAGTATTAGAGGCCTGTCTGAACAACATGGTGAGATCCAGGTACAGCTGGACTATGGTTGAGACACTTGACTCAAAAAAAAAAAAAAAAAAAAAGGAGTGGGTAGGTAAAAGGGTTTCTATACTAACGTATACAGAGGGTATTTTCCAATGGATTATTGTATGTTTCATACAAAGATTTGTTTATGCATGTACATAGGCTCATGTTTATAAGAGCCGAAAGCTAGAGCTAAACCAAATGGCCTACTACTTGGCAACAAAAAGAAATGCATATCAGATCCAGGGACTTTAAACTTTTGAAATCAGAAGTGTTTTAGATTTAGAATATTTTCCTATGAAATAAAATATCTTATGGATATGACCAATCTAAGCATGCAATTTATTATTGTTTCTTACATGCCGTATGCCCATGGTCTGAAGGTAATTATGCAATATTTTAATGGTATTTTTTACTTCAACACATCATATAATGCCAAATACAGAGTTTTCTTGTACCAGCATGTCAGTGACAAAGCTGCTCATTTTGAATTTCATAGTTTCAGATTAGATATACTCCACTTGTATTGATAAGGTCAACAATATTGAGAATATCATAATACTTACACTGACTGAAAAATATAGTCAATAAAAAACAATACTCCTCCATGATTCCTCTAAGATAAGAAGGAGAGGGGCCGGAGAAGAAAATTAAAGAAGAATATGAGAACTTCAGGGTGATGGCATGTTCACTATTTTGATCATAATGGTGCTTTCAGAGGTAGAAAAGAGTGCCTGTGATGTCATATGTCAAGACTTGCCAAAATGTACAGTTTACTGTATGTCAATTATGTTAGTTGATTTATGAGTTAACATTAAAATAAGAAAAAAGTCAACTCCTACTAGTCTTTATGGTAGATGTAGGAAAAGCAAATGAGCAGCAGACATCATCAGACACTCCTACCCTTTCTTGTACTGGTATAAGTCAATATGTGATACTTCAGAGGAAAGGACCTTTTTCTTTCATCTTACTTTCTAATGCTTCATTTGTAGAAAACCTTTCCTAAATGTTAGGGAATAAGCCAGACTTGTCCTTAGCCAACTTTAACCAAGTTGAATCCAATGCATACATTTTCGAGTTCCATCTCTTTAACATTCCTATTGAAATGCATTTTATACTTAGTCTACCTAATTCCCTTGGCTTGTTCTCCTCAGTCCTACACACCTCCAAGCAATGAGTTCAAGATCAGCATGAAATTGGAAGCACAGGACCCCAGGAACACCACATCCACCTGTATTGCCACAGTAGTTGGACTGACAGGTGCCCGACTCCGCCTGCGCCTTGATGGCAGTGACAACAAGAATGACTTCTGGAGACTGGTTGACTCCTCTGAAATCCAACCAATTGGAAACTGTGAGAAGAATGGTGGTATGCTGCAGCCCCCTCTAGGTGAGTAACTAGACCCTTGTTCTCCCTGGCCAGTCAGTTAGATTCCAAAAGTTATACATCCTGTTATGGAAAAGCTCTTGAACATATGACTACCCTTTGTTTTTCAGAGTAGTTTCCCTAATAGGCCTAGATAATATAAAGTGGGTTATCTTTACGTTAGTATAGGGTGTCTAGTCCTCACATACTCTTTTAACTTAACAGGAAACCATACTCTTTCCCAATCGATTCGCCTGGAAGAAAGGATACCTGTTATGTTAAGTCTTTTATGTCCTCTCCCCCAGTTCTTACTTGGTCCTTGGAATTCTCTTATTGAGAATCCATTATTAGAAATCTATTCTTTTAGTTAAACTAATAATCACACTTCTCTTTTGATCATAGTCATCCTTTTTTTCTGCCTCAGTACCTGAGGAAATGAGGCATCTCATCAGTTACTGACAGTTACTACTGATTGCAGTGAGTCTTCATGAGAAAGAGTGATAAGTTAGGGGTTTGGGCCATGTTCTCTTCAGGATATTGAGCTATTTTAATTGGACTTAGGGGATATGTATCATTTGAAAGAGTTTAACATTTTCTTCCATATAAAAATTATGTGGGAAAATTTCAAATATGTACAAAAGTAAAGAAAACAACACAGTTATGTCAGTCTGTCCTCTATTGTTATAATTGTCAGCATGTATTCAATGTTATTTTATATATACTTGATTGTGTCTGCCTTAAAGTACAAATATAGTACCGCTTTATCATGAAATAGAATGTCTCTCTCATAGGTCAGGATGTTTTAAAAGCATAGCCATACCACATTATCACACCAGTAAATATTTGTGTTTAAATGATCCCACCGTCATAGCACCCTTCCTCCTTCCTTTCCTCCCTGTCTTTCTCCTTTCCTTTTCCTTTCCTGCTTGTCTTTTTCCCTCTCCTGTTACGTCCTCTCTTCTTCCCTCCTTCTCATCTTTCTCTTTCTCTCTCTTATCTCCTTCCCTATCTTCCCCCTTCTACATTTATCCCTCTTCATCTTTCCTTCTCCTCTGTCGTCTCTCATCTTGAATTTCTTTAAATAAAGTTGGTTGGTATGTATGCTAAGCCTCTTAGTGTATGGGATTTCCTTCCCTCCTTTTTTTCCCTTGAAACTTACTTGTTGCAAACCCCACGTCTTTAAATTTTCTCATAATTATATTTTGCTGATTATATCTGTTAGTGTCATTTAATGTTTTTCTCCATTCCTGTTTCCTAGATATCAGTAGCTAGACCTAGAGGTTTGATCAGACTCAGATTCGAGTTTGGGGGCGGGGGTTGTTGTTGTTTTTCACACACATATCTCACAGATGACAGGCTCTTGGTTGTTCCTTGTTTTATAACCTAGTAGAGTCTCTCAAGCTTTGCAGCTCCAAAACCTTCCTCATCTTGGCTGGAGATACATACTATCTGACACATTAGGAAAACCTGCTCAGCCCTGGTCTTGGGCCATGACCAACAATGTGTACTGGGTGTGAAAGACCAGAATGTCAATAGGAATGCAGACAGTAAAAGCTATGCTCACAAGGTTTCAGAAGGGAACAGGTACTCTGTTGGGAATGGACTAGAAGCCACTTATAACATTCTTTTTAAAGTTTTATGTGTGTGGATGTTTTTCCCGTGTGTGTGTGTGTGTGTGTGTGTGTGTGTGTGTGTGTGTGTGTGTGTGTGTGTGTGGTGCCTGCAGACGCCAAAAAGGGGTACTGTATTCCCAGGAACTGGGGTTACAGATGGTTGCGAGCCTCCATGTGGGTGCTGAAAGTGGAACCCAGGTCTTCTACGAGAGCAGCAAATGCTCTTAGCCACTGAGCCATCTCTAGCAGCTCCCAGGGCTACTTTCTCACAAAGAATCTTGTAGCTTATATTTGGCATGTCAGCTTGTTCTGTTTTAGGAGTTTCTGGAACCTTTAGGAGATGGGCCTAGTTGTAAGAAGTTGATCACTGGGGTAGGAGAGGCAAGCCTTGGGTGTTAGCCCAGTCCCAAGTCCTGCCCGAGCTCTCTGCTCCCCGACCACCAGTGGATGTACCATCTGCCTCGTTCTTCCACTGCTTTAGCTGTGAGCCGCCAAAGCTTCTTCACAGCGACAGGCTGTACTCTCTTAAATCATGACTCCCCATCTCCCCTTAAGTTGTATTTTTCAGCCATTTTTATCAAAATGGTGATGAAAAGTAACTGATAGCAGTCCTTTTAGTGAGAAATGATATTTAGAAACCATAATCTGAGCACTAGAAAGCCAAATTTTTGGGTAGGTAGGTAATTGTTTTAGGACTTGGTAGTATAGAGAGGCAGAACCTGCCTTTTTTCTGTTTTAGATAACATTAAATTCATTTTGCTATATCCTGCTTAAATTCAGGATAGTGGCCTGTTCGTCTACTTTGTCATCTTACATCTGTATCTTTCTACCTTAATATAAGTGAAGTAATTTTATATGCTTTATTCCACAGTACACATGCAACAGGCTCAGACTCTTAGCCAACTGTCACCATTGTGATGATGGATACTGTTTTAGTTCTTTGCATTTTTTCTTAACTCTTAAGACAAATAGACACAGTAAGTTTATTTGGATTAATTTCTTTCTGCATGGCTCTGTCACTGATTTAGGAATTAAGGTGGAATTGCTTTTTAATTAATTTGATTTACAAATATGTAAATATATGCATTTTAAAGTAAAGTTTATGCAACAAAATATATTCATAAAAATTCTTTTTAGTGTAGTTTTTCCTTTTTGAATAGGTAACCACTTTCCTTAAATTTATTGCTTATTTTTCATTCAAAAAATTATAGCCACAGACTTGGGGTGTACTTCAGAGACAGATCACTTGCCTAGCATTCACAAGATCCTGGATTTAGTACCTAACATTGAAAAAGTAATATAAAAGCAAACAAAATATTTAGGTAAATATATGTGTATGCACATATATGTATATATAATTGTTACATATTAATATGCATGTATTTGTGCCAGAAGCTTAATTATTAATAACTATATCAGAGAATTAAGAGTAGTGAGAGTATAAATATATTTTACATATGTGTCTATACATGTGTGCCTATGAAAGTAGCATACGTTGCATACTTGTCTTCACTTGGTCTTTTTCGTTTATTGGTATGTCCTAAAGATGACTTCATAGTGAAATACAATTATTCCTATTGCTTCTTCCAGTTGCACAGTGCTATATTATTGTGCTACTTTTGAATAGCAGTTTAGAAGCATCTTGCTGAAGATATAGCTCAGCTGGTAGAATGCTTGCCTTGCATGCATGAGTCTATGGGTTCAATCATCAGTACTTAAAAAAAACAGCAATAACAAAAGGAAATTATTGTATGGACTGGGAATATAACTCAGTGGTAGGTAACATCACACTTGCCTACCATATGTGAAGCCCTAGGTTCAATTCCCAGCACAACAAAAAAGAAGAAGAAAACATTTAGTACCAAGAATGTAACTCTGTTGGTAGAGAGGTTACCTAGTATGTGTGAGACTGAAAATCTTGTGTTCAACCCCAAGCACTCAATTAACTAGCTGTGGTAGTTCATGTTTATAATCCCAGCACTCAGGAGATGGAGGGAAGAGGGCCAGAAGTTCAAGACCAGCCTGGGACACATGAAGTCATATCTCAAAACAAAAGAATAGAGGCATCTTTAGCGATTATTAAAACTATAAACTCTTGGTGATAATAATCACTACCTAAATAAAAATCATTTAAAAAAATTCTCTATAAACATAAAGATCAAAAAAGAAGACAAATTGAATCATTGGTAACTCATACTTAAATATAACAGTTAAGCATGCCACAAATTTCAACTAGATGTTATTGAGAATATGAAGCTCTGATGCCAGCAGATGCATACCAGAACAAAGAGTTTATGGATGCAGACATGGTATAAAAAGGAGGAGCGTACTGGAGATCTAACACAGCCTAGAAAGAAATAGACCCATATAGAGGACATATTCAAGACAAAGTTGAGGCCTAGTGGATTCAGGTATATGGTACTAACTCATAAAGCAGGAAAGTCTGAAATGAAGGACTAGAAAAAGTATAGGAATCTTGGAGAGAAAATTCACTGTTGGGGAGAGAAGACAGTGTTGAAAGAGGAGACAGGGAAGCAAAGAGCAGAATTTAAGTCTATGTAGAACCAAAGAGAATAAAAATCAAAAGACATTCCAGTTTCCTCATCCCATTCCAAAGAAGTCTGTCTTCAAAAGAAACTATATTCCATTATGGCAACTCGGAAACTAAGTTCCCTACCGAAGTAGAACCTCTGGACTTTGCTGGTCTAGGAAAAATAGACACTTTAAAATGATCAGTCAACACCCATAAAAAGAAAAAAAAGATGAAGATAAAACTGCTTAAATTACTGAAAACCTCGTTGCCAAAACCAATGACTAATCAGAAAGAAACTTGCACAACAACCCAACTTGAATGAAACAAGTAATGACAGACAGATGGAGAAAAATACCTTGACTCGTATGTAGTGAAAATCACACTAGAAATATACCATAGTCAAGAAGATGTGGAATGGAATTGTCCAAACTCAAGAAACATTGAAGAATCTAAAAATCCAGTTCAGATGGCTAATGAGATAACAGAGCCAAATGAAAATACTATGAAGGGTGTTGAGGAGAGAAGTAAAAACATCCAAGAGAATAAAATGTACTAGAAAGGATAAAAATCTATCAGAAAGGAATTACTGAAACATAGAACATGATCCACAAAGATCCAATTTGTGCATGTGTGTTTGTTTGTCAAACAAAACAACAGAATAAACAAACTTATTTTAAAGTAAAGAAGAAAGAAATAAGTCTATAAGGGGCCCACTTTTCACTTCCCAGAAATGGGAAGTGGAATTCAGATTGGTCAACTCTGAAACATTATTCTAGTAAAGCTGTTAAATTCTTGTAAAAAAGAAGAAAAGAAAAAGCCAAGTCTTTTACAAAGCCACTAAATTCAAGGTTCCATCAGATTTCACAACACAGTACAAG